CATTCTTGCGATTGAAGAGAGAACGTTTATAAAATTTGAAATCATCAATTTTTCACACATTTGTACACACATTTATTGACATTTACATATTTATGTCAGTAATTGCACATACAACATGCATACATAACACTTAGGAAAATGTATGTAGACTAAGTTTACTGTTATTATTGTAAAATTATAGGGAAAAGAAAATGAGAAAAATGCCACCAGAGCTAAATTTTAACTTTTGCAAAAATAAAATACAAAAAAAAAATTGAAAGAGAAATAAGAGAATGAAAGTTTATTGAAGTCGAAGAAAGTAGTTTTGTTTATATTTTAAAATAGCATATTTGTAAGAGTTTAACTTTCTCATTTTTACAAATTTTATTTTGTTTACTTTTTTCTTCTTTTATTTTATTACGTTACTTAAAAATAAAGTTTTGGAAAATGTAGAATTTTATTAAGTTTTTTTTTTTTATAAAAATTACATTTTATTCACATTTATTTCTATTGGAAAACTTACACATATATTCTATCTCTTTCATATTCTCACTTTTTATGAATTTTTGCGATGCAATTATGTGTACATGTGTGAATTTGTTTTTTTGGATGATCTTGTGTAAAATTCGTAAAAGTTTTCCTAAGGCATTATAAAAAAGTTTATTTTTTCTCGTTTTCCTGTAAATTTACTTTTAAAGTTTAGTCTATACTAGTGTAATGATGTGGTACATGAATATGAAGGATCTATAATAAAAGAAAGTTGAATTGTGTAGAATAGTTGAGTATTACTTTTTAAGGCTCATTTAAAATAAATTTTATTTAATGAGTATTATGAAAGCATGTTTAAATTGGATTACTGTTCATTGGGAATTGGTTGCCATTTATGAAAATCTCGACTTGAAATTTAGTTAAGCAGTTGCCCTCAATTTTATATAGGGCTTATTTATAGCTGTACCCATAATAACCTGAAATGTAAAAATGCTTTTCTGCAGTGCTAAATTTTGATTTAGTCATAACGCCCTGTTTTTTTTTTCGCCCCATCGGCTATTTCATTTCTTTCGGCTTTTTAGATTTATCTTCCTTTGTCTTCGTTCTTAGGTTTATGCAACCCTCCGTTCGACTTTGTGTATATTCGTCTGTCTTTATTTCACAGATTTTATTTTATTATTTCTCTGTCCCTCTATCGATCGGTTTTTTTGTCACCCTGTCCACCAGCTTCTTTGTCATTCTGTTCATCGGTTTCTTGTCCTTCTTTTCATCGATTTCTTCATCCCTATGTCCCTCTGTTTCTTTTCCCCATCTCACCCTTTTGTCTTTTATCTATATTATTTAATTTATGTTATTCGTGTTTGTGTGGAAAGAAATTCAGTTAAAATTTTAACTAATTTTCTCACTTCTTTCTCTCACTTTCTGTTTTTCCTCTTATTGATTTTATAAAACTTTTACACTTTGCGATCGATTTCGATATTGCTTCAAACAATAATTTAACCCATAAATTTCATCATTTACCTATTTAAAAAAAAGCAAGATTGTGTTTTTATTCCTTACTACTGGTGATATAACGAATCCAATAAAGGATTTTTCATGTCATCGAATCTAATGCAAAAAATATATTTAACAAAAAGTTGTAAAAAGTACAAAGAAAAATTTAATTTTAATTTTCATTTATTTAAAAAAAATAAGGTAAAGATGAAAAAAGCAGTTAGAACCCCCCAAACAAATTCATTTTTTAAATAAGAAAGTGTCATTTATGCTCATAACTTCTTTTAATTTATGACATTTTAACGTCATCAAAGATTTTTGTTTGTAAAGAATAATTTTTTGGGGAGAAAAAAATTCAAAAAAAATATATGTAACTTTGAAATGAGGGAAATTTGCTGAGAGAAAAAAAAAACAAAAACAAAATAAAAACAGGAAGGATATACGTTCCCCATATCCTGGGTGTTTTATCATTTGTGAAGTTTAGTAGGTAAAAATAAAAAAGAAATTGTTGTAAAGTTGATTTTTATTTCATCAAATTGTCGTCTATCAATAAAGAGACAAGAGAAAAACTTAAACAAACATTTTTATTTCTCACCTCCGCTTTTATATTTTTTAAACAAAAACTAAGTGGGGGATTCGGTTCTTATTTCGTTTAATATTCGTGTTTCAGCTGAAGGGCAATTTTTTTGCGTTTTTGCTTGAAAATTAACAAAAAAAAAAAAGAAAAGTAAACATCGATTTACATTAAAGGTAAAAATGAAGTCAATATGGCCCAGGAAAAAAAAACTAAAGAAAATTTCAAAATTTTTAATATTTTAGTGAATAAAAACAAATATTGACATTGGAATGGCTCATAAGATTTCTTCAGCCTCTTTTTCCCTCATTTCCCTTTCCGTTTTTGTAGCAAATTTTGAAGATATTTTGATGAAAGTTGAAAATTTGTAATTCCTTCTTTAAAATATTAAAAAATTTTAAAATATTTGCTTGAATATTTTGTACTTTTTTAATGCATTTTTTATTTTATATTGATATATTTGTTGTTGTGCTTTGTAATATTTGTAAGCATAATTTAAAGGTTTTGTTAATTACAATCTATTTTTAGGCGATTTTTCTGAACGGTTGCAGAGTTGAAAATGAAAATTTGTGATTAGGAATCAATCTAGTTTTTTTTTAGATTTAAGGAATAGTTTAGTTTTTAAATCTAAAACCGTGGCTACCCGTGTCATATAAAATAAAAGTTTTTGATGACGTTGGTGATCTAATTTTGGATAATTATAAAGTACAACAAAATCCAACATATTTAAAATTGAGTGGTTAAACAACTATATTCAGTGAAATATTTATTAGCATCGCACTTGTACATATTTATGAGAATAACGTGACAAGGACAACTGAAGGAGAATGTTTTTAAAATAAAAGAAATTTATAGTGCTATAGATGATGTTATGAATAAAATCACAACCACACTCTAGAGTGTACAATATAAATGTCATGTTTGTTAGATATACCATGATAGATGGTAATAAATTTTAAACCTCTTTATATATTTTAAGTAACTTATATAAAAATCAAAAAATTTGATTATTTTATGAGAATTTAAAAACTCCTTTATTTATTTATTCATCAAGTAACTTCTGGAAATCCTCTTAAAAATATTATATTTAAAAAGAAAACTATGTAAAAATTTCAATCTTCTTTTTTTTAAAAGAAGTTTATTTATTGCACCAAGGGCTTTCATAAAAAAAAACGAAAATTGTTAAGTAATAACTTTTTTGGTTTTTTTTTCTACCTTTTACTAAGGTACTTAACAACAAAAAAGAAAAGAAATTAGAGAATTTAAAAATTTTTAGGTAACTTTAGCTAAAGTTGTATAATAAGTTTTAGAAACATAAAAGAAAGATGTTGAATTCGAAAACTTTGTGTACAAGCCAACCACCTAATCATATAAAATTTTGTAAAAAGGAAGAAATTTTGGAAGTGTCACGAATAAAACAGTATTCGAGAAATTGATTGCAAAGACCAGATGCAACTAGGTGTTTCTTTTTTGCTAAAACTGCAATCGGTTTATATTACATCTGAGTTAATTAAGAAAACAACTACATAAACAGCAGTTGCGCATTAGTCAACAGAGTGGCACATATTTGAATATTTGGCTACAATGGATATAGAGGCAACAAGATTTTCGATCGACTGGATGATGTTTTTGAGTGTACAGTGATATCAATACTAAACTATTCTTGGAAACAACTTTGAAAAATATATTTTTTCATTTTCTGCGAATTTTTTAGAAACAGTGACCATTTTATTGCCAGCTTATAGAAGCACAATTGACGAAACAATTGTCTTGGATCAGGTTCCTTTAATATTGAGGAAGATTTCCCCAATTTTTTTTGAGGACGTTTAGAAACAGACTGACGATGGAAGGGAAGAGGATTGATTGTCGTGAAAACTCCTACAATTTAATGATTTTTCTTCCTTATTTTCCTGCTTTTAAAATTTTCAATCACACTATTAGAGTAATACTCTGTATACTTTAAAGATAAAATGGAGGGACACTAAAGGATATTAAAAATATGATGCTCATGTACTAAGGACATAAAAATATAAATAAAAGCACAAAAGCAAACTAAAAAAAAAAAGAAAAAAAAATTGTACTTAGTGACGCTTTTCTTATTTTTCGGTTTCGTTTTTTCTGTATTTGGCCGGTTCTTTTAAATGACATTATCCTTTTTTCTTTTGTCATTTTTTTAAAAAAAAGAAAAAGGAATATAGTAATAAAAATAAACCATAAAGCATAAAATCTTCTTACTATTATAATAAAGGTACACAAACCTAAATAAAGGTGGCGTATTAAAAATTGTTCTTTCATATTACAATGGTGTCCTTTTTTCAAAAAAAAAAAAAAAATTAAACTTTTAAACACCTTTGTTAAAATTTTGTTTTGATTTAAATTTCTTTTTTTTTTTTTTTTTGAATTCAATGAACTTGTAGACTAATTTAATAAAAAAGAATTGTTTTGATTTTTTTTCAAATTATTTTATTGCAAAGGTTTGCATTGTCCTTATGAATTTTATAGCGAAAATTTCAAAAATCCCCAAAAAAATATAGGTTAACATTGTAAAGATTTGATTCTTTTTATTTTTTTAAGGCAATGTGGATTGGTTTAAGTGATTTTGTTATGACATTTCCAAAAATTTTTGCAATTAATTTTTTAAATTGCAATAGATTAGCATTTGTGTAACGGCCACCCAAAATCTAGTTTCATATTGAAAAGTAAAAGGATTCGAGCTCAGATAAGATTTTAGCTTTCTTATCTTTATATTTTAGTCAGATTGTCATTCACTTAGGTTTTCTCTATTTTCACTAAATCAATATTTGATATTGACTATTTTTGATTTTGGAATAAAATTTTGTTAGTTTTTCCTTACCTTAAAAGAGTAGGCTAATTTAAAAAAAAATGTTTTGATATAATTTTACTTATTAATAAATTTACTTATTTATACTATTTACATTTTAGATTTACACGGACTGGGGTAATTTCTATCTAGATCGGGCTAAATCAAAGAGACGAATTGTTAATTTAACAACAGATTGTTGTGATGGTCTAATTTTAGCTGATATAATTGAAAATGTAACAACATTTAAAGTAGAAAATATGATTAAAAATCCTAAAACTCAACAACAAATGGTAAGTTATACTTTATTTAATTGTTATATAACAAAACATTTTAACTCAATTACTAATATTTTCCATGAAGTTCAAAAATGAACTATATTTCCATATGTGCACTATTATTGTACTTTTGAACTTTACAAAAAACGAATTCTTTATAATCGTCTATCTATTGACTTTAGTAGATTAATATAAATTACTTTATTTTCACAATATTATTCCATAAGATATTTCTCAAGTTCTCCTCAAACTAGCTATATTTATTCAATTATTAAAAACGACATTCCTTTTTTTTCTACTGTGAACGATTTAATTCAAAGAATTATTATTATTATTGTTGTAATAATAAAATTTTTAAGAAAATGAAAATTATGAATAAATTCCAAACGTTTCAATTAATAATTTGCAATATTCTCTCTCAGTTCATGATATTCCAATCAATTTTCAACTCTTTTTTTTGTTTTTTTTGGTTTTCATTTTTGTTTTTTTATGAAAAATGATTTACTGACAGATTTAATAAACACTTGCAAAATGAATAATGAAAAAATTCATGGTAATTATGAGATAGTCTATTGAATTTGAAAGGACAGATTTGAAATATTTTAATGCAAAGCTTTTTAAAAATACAAAAAGTGTTGATAATTGATGTTAGTTAAGCACTTGCTCAAAGATCAATAACTTTGCCAGAGAAGTCCTTAGCAAAAACTTCCTAAATATGCGTCTTATTTTTTATTCTCGTCTCAATATCCTGATAGTTCGACTGATGTACGACAACTTAACAGTGACCCTGGGAAGTAGGATAGCTTAATGTATATTAAGCTATCTAATATTGAATATAATTTTTACAGTGATCGGGATTTGAACCCATTGGTCAGATTAACTAAAATAATTTACCATATTATATTAAAATTTTTAGCCCTGTATGTTTTAAAAAGGAATATTTATACCATTATGAACAAAATAACAAAATTTCTATAGAAAATGAATAAAATATGACTTATACTTTTAAGGTTAAAATAGTACTTACTTCATATACGAGTATGTATATAGGGAAAAATATTGTCGTTAATAAAATTCGCAATCTTTCATTTCATTGCTTTTATTATTCATAATTTTTTCGCGTTTTAATTTTTTTTTGCACTGTTTATTCTTCTACTTGTAATTCACTTTAAAATTGTGTTAAAGAATTCTATTTTTAGATTATTACCGTAGATATAAATGAATATTGTATTATGTATGCTCATATATTGTAATATATAGATGAAAATTTTATTTATTAAAATAATAATTTTTGTTGTTTATGGTAAAAATTTAAAATTCTTATATGTAGCTATTTGATTTTGATTTCATATGAAAATTTTGACTTAGTTGGAAAGTCTTTTATTCAACTCTTTTCATGACATGTCGCGTCTAAAATGAAATTTTCTTTTTTGTTTTTTTACTTTTTCTAAAAATTTAAATATATTATAATATTTAGTTTAAGAATTCAGAAGAAACTTTCATAACCAATGTTATATACTATGTGGTATACAAATCTCTAGTATGCATAATTACGTGTACGAAAATGTTACTATATATTAAAATGTAGACTATTATTAATATAACATGATGATGATGAGTGGGTTGAGATAGGAAATAATTGCCGTATTGTCTAAAAGTGTAGGTTGACTCTGTTTAAAAACAAAATAAGAAAAATGCATTTTGAACTTATTACATAAAACATTTTTAATGATTTTTATCATAATTTTAAAAAATGATTGAAACTAACTTGATTATGAATCAAAAAATTTGAAATGAGTGTTGTTAGATCTATATAAGCAATTTCATATTTTTAATATTTATATCAGATAAAATACAATGTAGATGTGTTATCGATATTAATTATTTACGAGATATCATTGAGTGCTTATCGGTGTTACAAATTTTTGAGATAAAGTTTAACATAAATTTTATTGATTTTATCATTTTGTAGTTAATATCTATGCGTGGATATTACACATTTAAAATTTTACAAAAAATTATTTTAATTGAAAAGAAAAATCTGAAAATGACACGCTTTCAATATTCTATTGTATATAAGTACTAGTACTTAATTATTTTACAATGATAATTGACTAAAATTGTTTGCTATTGTAAAATTATTAAATAATTTACAATTTTTGTACAAAAATAAAAAAAAAAATATTTAAAATTTCAAACTAATTTGAGTCATTCATAGCTTAAAATTGAAAAAAAAAAATTAAGTGCTTTTTGTAAATAAAATTTTTTGTGTGCCATAAATGCTCTAATCTGTTGGTACAAATGTTTGTTGAATAATAATTATAAAATGTAACAAGTTAAATTTTTGGTAAAATTTAGACGCTGTTATTATTTTAACGGTACTCGATTTTGTTTTCGTTCGTACCTAATTTGGGATCCAAAAATTGTTTTTGTTTCAAAATTAATTTTACAACAAAGTTCAACATTTTTTGCGAAATCCTTATTATCTTAAAATTTTGTTTTGCTATAAAAATTTAGGCATTAATTTAATTTACGCTATTAAGCGTAAGGAATTTTATATTATCATTAAGTATTAGAGGCTGGAATACTTTATTGGGTCGGAATATGCACATAAATATGATATTTAAACGTAAGAAATCTTTAATAATTAGCAAACAAATCAGTTTCTGTTATGAATTCTCTAATAAACCTATACCATAAGAGTTAAGAAGCTGCAGTCAAAGCATAATGGTACAGTGAATGTAATGTTTAAATTTTATAAGTTTTTGGATTACATGACTCACGTACATCATATGGTCTCTGATTTAATATTTGATATAAGAGTATGTATGTACTTAAGTAGTTAGAGTATCTACACGCCTATATCTATAGCACAAAATTGTTAAAAAAGCGAAAAAAGCGGCTTAGAAATAAATTTTCATTTTAATGACAACTTGTTGTCGTACATAATCGATTTCAACTCTCTACTTTTTGTAATGTTTATCCATATGTAACTAGTTTAGTTGATTGTCAAAATATATTATGCATTAAAAATTGTGACAATCCCATTGTTATATCAAGATAACCAAACTGAATGAAAAAATAAAAATTTCTTTTTTATTTCGCAGATTTTACAAATTGATTTAGTGTTGAATTGAGTGCTTTTTATAACACGTCAATTTATACTTAAATTTGATTTAATTTTTTTTTTTAATAAATTTTGATAGATTTGAAATAGACAGATTTACATTTAAATCAAAAATTTTTTTTTTTATTAATTTAATTTCCTAAGCGAGATAATAAAAGTTTCTCAATATACATAAATGTTTTGGCTATTGAAATAGAAATGTTATTTATGTGTTTCTCTCTATATAAAATTTACATTTCAATTAAAATTAAATTTCTTCTAATTATCGTTATTATTTGATTTGATATTTTAATGAATTTAATAAAATATTTGTAGATAACTAATTGTGTAACAAATTAGGCAACAATTTTTATAAGGTTCGCTAAGTTTCTTATTGCCTATTCCTCTTATTTCTTCGAATACCCTCATCTTTGTATTTTAATTAATTTCAGTCCACTTTTTGGTTGCAGTTTCTAATACACAATGTTTCATTTGAAGGTTTAGACTGAAAAGGTGATTGGAGGAAGTTTTTTAAAAGAAAAAAATACCAGATATAATTTTACACATGGTGTGCAGTGTGCTATTAAAATATTTACTCCACGATTTTTTTTTTTGGTTTTGTGAAAACCGCTTCCGTAAAGTCTTAATTCTTATACAAATTGTAAAAAGTAGAAAGTTTCCACTTTAAACAAATATTTCGTTAACTTACAATCTAGACTTTTACGTCCATAATGAAAACGAACTATAGCCTTCATAGTTCTTTCACTCATTTACAATTCATTAACATACAAAATACAAAATTTAGTTACATAATGCATGATTTATAGGCTTCCGAGTACTCTACCGTATATTGGTCATTTAAAATGCGTTACAAAATATTGTGTATAAAATATGAAAGTCGAATAATAATGGAAAGATAATCGCAATTGTTTAAATAATTTTGTATCATGATAGAAATTTTGTAGCATGACATAAATTTCTAGCATGATACAAATTACTTTATTCACAGATTCAGATATTAATTAACACATTTCAGCTTTATCTCACATGATATAAAAATTTCAATCTGAATTCTGAGCGAATACGAAACGAATATAAAAGCGAAAGAGAAAAAACAGAAATATAAAAATCATCAATCATCGATTTTATGATCATTATTCACAGATTACTTTCAATGTAGCATAACGTTCATTTTACAGATCGCGCTCAAGTTGATTGTGATTAAAAAAAAATAATACAATTAGTCTTCGGACGTACTTTGAACGAGTTAAAAGTCGAGCGGAATTTATTTTTTTTTTTATTTTTGAATTTTAATTTTTATAAAATTTTATTTAGTTTGTGTTTTTGTTTGTTTACTTATATTAGAATTTTTCTTTTTTTCGAAATTATGTGTAAATTTTGTATACATTTATACATAATTAATTAAAAAACAAATTTCTTAAGTGTTTGTAAATTTTAATTTTGAAATATCTAATTAGTTACTTTTACTATATATAAATATGTGTCTGTAAATAAAAACAAAAAGCGCGGTGAAGCTTTTTGAAATCATCTGACGATTCTAAGAAATTTTTAAGAAATAATTTATTAAATTTGAATTTTATTTGATTAATAATGTTGATGATCCGTAATTTTTAATAAAATGTAACCAAAACATATATTTTGAAATGATTTTTAATTATTGTGATATTACAAATTGGGTTTCTTTCGAAAATCAAAATTAAAATTTGATTTATTGTAAAAAAAAAAAAAAAGATTTTTGATAATAGTGGCGTTACTAGCCAAAATTTCTCAACTAAAGGAGAGACAAAATATTTTTTTTTTCAATTTTGTTGCGATATTAAAAAGAATTTACCGGAGAAAAAAAAGATAAATAATAAAAATTTCTGAATAATTAAATAATCAGAAATAA